CATTCACACCTCGACGGGACGGGAATCTGAAGCTCCGGGCTTCATGCGACGCCTGTGCCGCTTCGAAAGTCAAGTGCAGCAAAGAGCATCCGGCCTGTGCGCGCTGCCTCCAAACCCACACGAAATGCATATATGGCGTCTCGAGAAAACACGGAAAGCCAGGCCGGGTGAGGAAGAAGAACCCAGATGGGTCTCCGTTTGTCAAAGTCACAAGGCAACGCCCATCACCAATTGGCAATGAGTTCGGCGCATTTATGCTACAAACTCCTCCCGTTCGACGGACCAATTCGGAAGTCACGTCGAACTGGCCTTCAGACTGGTCACCTACTCCTAGCTTATCCACTCCTTCAGGTTTCGACTCCGAGACTGCACCTGAACCACCATACCCGAATGAAATCCTTCCAGACACCACCTATATGGATACTGACGTCCTGCCGAGACAAAATGTTCAGCCGGAACCTATGTCAGCCACTGGGACAGACCAGTTCTTTCAAGATCCTTTCACTCAGGAACAGACAGTACAGTCTCAGTATCCTACCTGGGAGACTCTCAACGACTACATCAGCAGCGATGACGCAAACCCCATGGACTATCACCCTGGCGGTGCAAAGACCGTGGAGCATCTACGTTCGGCCTCCTCTATATCTTTTCCGTACAGTCCAATGAGCCAAACCGTAGGAGGACACCACAATATGGCATCCTACACCGAATTCACGACAGACGACTGCCATAGTTGCTATCCGTTGGCCTATTCGACGCTCGAGAGTCTGCCAAACGTCAGATACCCGGGCCACTCGAGGGATTCATTCGATGCCGTTCTTCGCACTGTTCGGTCAGCACGAGAGAACATCTCGCAGCTTCTCAGGTGTTCATGCTCGTCAGACCCACACCTCGCTATGCTGTACTCTAGCATAACATCCAAGATTCTGGCCTGGTATCAAACCGCTGCTAGCGTTAGTCGCGGACCCCGTACCAGCCAGCCAGTCTCGGAATCGCTTCCTTGGAACTACTGTCAACCTCTTTCTTTCTCGCAGACCGTTTTCTCCCCTTCGTCTGTGACGAGCATTGGGGACACGGAAAATTACAACCTGTACATGCAGTCATCTCCGTTCACCCAGTACAAATTTGACGACGGCGAGAAAGAGAGACATAGAAGACAGATAGTCCTACATGAGTTGCGAGGATGTGCGCAACTCGTTGAGGCACTGGCTAATTGGGGAGGTAATGGCGATACTTGCGAGCAGGCGGGGCACCTGTATGAATTCCTAGGAGGCTGGCTGAACAGCCAACTGTGTATAATAATGAAGCAGATTGAACACAAAGAAGCTGCGACGGCTTGAGCTAATGAGAAGGATCGATAATCAGGAAAGGAATTGGGGGTGCATTGGAGGCATTTTGCTGCTGTTTAATAGCCACGGTTTCCCGTGGCGGTTGGTAATCGAGCTTATGACCTAGTAATGTTAATTCAAAAGTCTTCAGTTCTCATACTCTTAGTGACAGCAGGAAACATATCTCGTCGATGCGTGAAGATTGAGGAGACAACACTGGCCTGCTCTACGGCTGCAGGCTGTGTTTGTCGAGCTGTTGTGGAGCCACCCCGGATTTCCCCAGTGCACGTGCACCTTCACATGCCTCGGCTCAAAGCGCAGCAAGCATCATCGCACTGGTTCACATGCAAGCTACACCATCTCCAACCTCTAGCACCGCCGTTGCGAGAAATGACAGTCTTCCCAGAGAGGATGTACACGGTCAACAATGGCCGCTCAGTCAACCTTGCGACAGCCTCATGACCCGCTCCTAGCACTCTACGACCGCTATGCGACGCTCCTCAAGTCCCGCGTCCGCGGCGCATCCAAGCTCACGAAACTGCTATCCACCATCACCCTCCTCTTCACCATTATAGGTACCGGATATGGAGGCACGAGATGGTACAAGAGCCGGCGCGCAGAGAAGGAGACCGGCCGACGGTTGCTGAGGAGGAACTCCGGACTCAGGAACAAAGATGGCTCCAGGACCATTTATGTTCCCTACCGCGACTCGACGTCCAAGGTGGTCATCCATCCCACCAAACAGACCACATTCGATGCGCATCGCAGACTCTTCCTCCAGCCGCCACGCGCAGCCCGCATGGCTGACACGACCTCGAGCGACCCGCAAGCGCCGCCACCGCAGACGAAGCCCGGCCTCAATTTGGCCTTCCTACACCAGTTCCTGAGCCTTCTGAACATCATGATACCGCGTTGGAATAGCAAGGAGACGGGTCTGCTGGTCAGCCATAGCGTCTTCCTAATGCTGCGGACGTATCTGTCACTCGTCGTAGCGCGTCTCGACGGAGAGATCGTGCGCGACCTCGTGGCAGGCAACGGCAAGGCATTTCTGTGGGGCATAGTCAAATGGCTTGGTGTCGGCACCTTCTCTTCATACACGAACGCTATGATCAAGTTCCTGCAGAGTAAGGTCTCCATCGCGTTCCGAACGCGACTCACGCGATACATCCACGACTTGTATCTGAACGACCATCTGAACTACTATAAGCTACAGAATTTGGACGGAGGTGTAGGCGTCGGGGCAGACCAATACATTACACAAGATCTGACGCTATTCTGTGCGAGTGCGGCATCCTTATACTCGAGCCTGGGAAAGCCGTTTGTGGATCTTTGTGTGTTCAACTATCAGCTCTACCGTTCTTTGGGACCGTTAGCACTGACCGGACTGCTGAGCAACTACTTCCTCACCGCGACAGTGTTGCGGAAGCTTTCTCCGCCCTTTGGTAAACTGAAAGCTGTTGAAGGACGAAGAGAAGGCGAGTTCCGCGCTCTGCACTCCCGACTTATCGCAAACGCGGAAGAAGTGGCTTTCTACGGTGGTGACGAGATGGAAAAGCACTTCCTGGAACGAGGATTCAAGGACCTCAAGCACTGGATGGAGGGCATCTACAGTCTCAAGATCCGGTACAACATGCTCGAAGACTTCGTGCTGAAGTACTCATGGTCCGCTTTCGGATACCTGGTTACTTCGCTCCCAGTCTTCTTGCCCGAATGGGGTGGTGTAGGAGGCACACCCGAGCTACCTGGAGGAGAGAAATCGCACCGCGAGCGCAGCCGTATGAAGGACTTTATCACTAACAAGCGACTGATGTTGTCGCTTGCTGATGCTGGTGGGCGCATGATGTACAGTATTAAAGATCTTTCTGAACTTGCCGGCTACACATCACGCGTCTACACCCTAATCAGCACGCTTCATCGCGTCCACGCAGAAGCATACTACCCTCCACCCGGCACGCGACCCGAACTCTATTCCGTCTCCGACATTCAAGGTACAGTACACAAGGGCTTCGATGGAATCCGCCTCGAACACGTTCCAGTCGTCGCCCCAGCCCTGCACCCCATGGGCGGCGAAGAACTCCTAGAATCCCTATCCTTCATCGTTCACTCCGGCGAGCACCTTCTAATTACCGGCCCCAATGGCTGCGGTAAGAGCGCAGTTTCGCGCATCGTCGCTGGTCTTTGGCCTGCATACCGTGGTCTCGTGAGTCGTCCCCGCAGCATCGGCGTAGACGGCATCATGTTCCTTCCTCAACGACCTTACCTCTCCACTGGCACCCTCCGTGACCAAGTCATATATCCCCACACCGATGCCGATATGAAGGATGCAGGCCGTCGCGACTTTGAACTTTCGCAGGTCCTCGAAGAAGCCAAACTGGGCTACTTGCCCGATCGAGAAGGCGGCTGGGACACGAAGAAAGTATGGAAAGACGTGTTTAGCGGTGGCGAGAAGCAGAGAATGGGCATTGCAAGACTACTCTATCATGAGCCGCGATACGCGTTTGTTGATGAGGGCACAAGTGCGGTTAGCAGTGATGTGGAAGGCCTACTCTACGAACGAGCAAAGGCCAAGGGCATAAGTAAGTACCCGACTACCCTTGTCATGATGGCTTCAACTGATTCACCCACTCCAGCACTGATCACGATATCCACGCGCGCATCCCTAAAGCGCTACCACGACTACACACTAACCCTCGGCATGGGCGACCACGGCGACGAATGGGACTTCCAACGCATAGGCACACAGTCTGAGAAGTCGAGCGTCGAGAAGGAGCTGGCAGAACTCAGGGAAAGGCTCGCCAAAGTTGAGGAATGGAAGAAGAGGAGAGAGGAAATCGAGGCAGAGTTGAACAGGGTGTGGGTCGAAGGCAAGGATGAAGAGGGCGAGACCGAGGAACTAGCACCGCCGCCATACTTGGAACGAGAGGACAACGTCGACACGGCGAGTACAAAGGAGGATGATGTTGGCGATAGAGATCAGGAGGAGGCGGTCGAGAGTGGGAGTGAAGGAATCTCGCCGTCCAGCTAGTCTAGGTATCGAAACACATGATTCTTCCCGCCCCAATTCAGCTCTGCAACCCCTCAAAAAAAAAAAGATGCTCGCCTTTTCCAAGGTCTTGTCAAAGTACGTGATCGCGGCAAAAATAATGAAAAAACAGGCAAAAACATACAACAGCGGGTGGTCCCCGGTGGTCACCCACCCGAGTACTAATCCGCCGGTATCCTGCTTAAGTACCGCTGAGCGAACGGGAAGCGCTGGTCGTCAAGATCCTATGGTCGTATGTGAAGGTTTTGGCTGTCAAATTGATTTATAACGCGCACAGTTGGATGCGGTCGGCAATCTTGCACCAGCAGACCACATATACCGGGCTGCGGACGCCGGCGCCCGCTGTTTGCTTGCTGCGACTGAGTTAGAGAGAGACAGTAGGATACATAGTAGAGGAGGTGCGAAAGACGTGTCACGCTTCTCTTATCGAGATGATCACCACAGGGAGTGGGCAACAAGTTTCGATTCATCCAACTATCAAGATCCTGATGGTCCAAGCTTGCGCCGTGGAGCCGTCCTCCCGTAGTTGTCCAGCGTCATTATCTCATTGTGTCATGAGACAAGAGCGATCATGTTTCCTCCAACCCGATTTTCCGCGCGCATAGAGCGTCGTACCATCATCAACGCGATCAAGCTGGAGGTGTTGGGTGATCGTGATACTTTGAACATATCAAAGGCTTGATGTACGTGCCCCAGTTGGCCTGGCCGAAAGGCAGCTTCCCATACCCTGCACTTGACGGAATGGGAGTCGATCCGAGAGCCATGAATGCTACGACAATATTGGCAAGAAACTCTTGGGGATATCGCGACAACTCAGATTCCCGCTGGCTCAGGTCTGAAAGATCTCCGAAACGATAAGTTTCGACGACGTCATCCACAAGATATTTTCGAAGAGCTGATCCTGGAAGGGTATTTTCGTACACATAGGCGATTTGGTTCAGCGGGACTTTCCACTCCTGATGTGTCTTCTGAAGAAGCAGGTCGATTGCGGTGTTACAGAGGTCGGTACTTCCGCGTGCGTCGCCAAACACATAGATCTCGCAAATAAGCTGCTCACTCAGAGGAATTTTCCCTGAAGCGTCGAGCGCGAAGTAGAGCTTTCCTGTATAGAGCCAGCGGAAGAACGCCTGGAAGACCTCCGGATTCTCGTCCTTTAGTTCAACAGTCTTAAAAGTACCTTCTTTCCAGTCGTCCTTCAGGGCAGCTTTGAAGTAGGAGGAATAGTGAGAAAGGAGGCCTTTGTAGGCATAGAACTTGCGCGTGTGCGGCCCGGTACCGACTTCAATAGTGATGATGGGTCCGTACTCGTCGCTGTACAGTATATCAGTGGCTTCCTCGAATGCAGCCTTGTTCGTACTCACGGGTCCGGCGCAGGAGTAGCTTTGGAGCATTTGGCCAGCTCGAGCAACGGCTTGACCTTCTTGGCCTCCTCTTTCTTCTCTGGAGTCGCCATCGCGAACGATTGTGGTTGTCGTAATATCTGGCCACAGTCGTGACAGGTACTCCAAAAGAAAAACTTGTATTGATGTGACGGTGACTGCGACGGTGAGAAGTGACTGGGCCTAGTAGCGCGGTCTTGGCAGTGAGCTGGAGAGGCAGGAGCGATGGACAGGGTCCAGCAAGCGGTGATGAGCCGGGTTCACCGACTAGAGACTACAGTGTACTCTTCGCTTGGAGGTATACATATCGCTAACGGTTGGAACTTACTCACCGTTTGGACGGATGTAGTCCTCAAGGTCCACTCTGAGTGGCAGGCTCTGGATTACACCCTTCGACATCTGCAGCGGTCCTCACACAGCATAGCCTCTTTCTCCTTTACCAGATTGCTAAAATGACTGGAGGAAGGACTCCGTACCTTCGGGTTCATATCCCTGCTGTTGATGCTGGCAGCATGGTCAACGATCACCAGTATCACCGAACTTGTTCAGTATGATTGTACACTAATCTCATTTCTCTTTCTCGCTATCGGAGAAAACGCCAGACCATGCAAATGCTACTCGCTCTTTCTACGATTGTACAACTACTAATACATAATTTTTCCCTTTTCCAACACGCTCGCTAAACCCCAAAGTCGCTCAATAGAAAGAATTGCGTATTACTAGTATTTCTTCTTTCTGTGCCGCACATGAGGATCCTGTCCCTTTCGGTTCCTCTTCTGCCGGTCCGTTGGCGGCCGGTACGGTTCTTTGCCGTACTCTTCCCGGTACAGGCTAAGCATGTATTCATCGACGTGCCTCCGCTCCTTCTCGTTGCCGTCGATGTCGAGGTCTTCGTTCGCTTTGGCAGCAGCGGCGGCCTCCGAGGCGGCTCTCGTGGCGTTGAGACTCTCGTTAAAGTCGACTTGGTCTTCTTGAATCTCATCCACAATCTCCTTTTGCGCAATGGAAGCAGCCGTGCGATCCTCGGTATCCTCCACTGTACCCATGACACGTGCGTCACCTAGCAGTCCAATCTTCTCGCCGAGCACACGTTCCATGGCTGCGCCCGCTTCGTCGTTCGTATCAATTCCCAAGTTCTCGTCGAGTGCGTCGCGCCAGGTGACCTTGTTGAAGGTGTCTGTGGTGAAGTCACCCTTTTGGATAATGACGTCGTCGAGCAGACGTTTCTGGTTCGACTTGCGGAGGATGTTGGCTTCGATGGTGTATTCGCTGACAAACTTGTAGATGTGCACATCGCGCGTTTGACCGATACGATGGGCTCGGTCTTGACACTGCTTGTCCATCGCGGGGTTCCAATCAAGATCATAAAAGATGACGCTGTCAGCACCCGTGAGATTGATACCGAGACCACCAGATCGAGATGACAGGATGAAGCATAAGATGCGGGGGTCACTGTTGAAGCGATCAGTAAGAATCTGGCGCTGTTCGATCTTGGTAGATCCGTCGAGGCGCAGGTAGCGATATCCGTGAATGTTTAGGAATTGCTCGAGAATGTCGAGAACCTTTGTCATCTGGGTAAAGATGAGCGCACGGTGACCACCAGCCTGTAGATCTCGTAGGAGTGTTGCAAGACGCTGAAGCTTGCCACAGTCGTATTGAAGGAGACGCTTGTCCGGGAAGGCGATCGATTGTCGGATGCGCGAAGAATGGAAGGGGTCTTTTTCGTGTGCTGCCTCCGACGATTGAATCAGCTGGACACCGCGCCTGGATAGGGTCAGAGGTGCTAATTCCTCGGCTGCAACGGCAGGCGTAACGCATGTGAAGCGGGTAATGAGAGGCTCCATAGCCTCAGCACGCTGCTCCAATGTTGGGATCATATCATAGAAATGGGTGATTTGTTGATCGTGCCAGTGCGACAAGACACGATGAGAGCGCGGTGACCTGAATCCAAGTAAACCATGGTGCCGTTGAACGATGTCATAGTGAATCGCTTCCTCTTGTCTTGGTTGCATTTGAGCCTGACCGAAGCCATGATAGTTAGGGTGTGGTGTGTGATGGGTTCGATAGAGGAGAGGCTTAGCCACTCTCTTCCCTTCAGTGATAGCCCCAAATGTGAAATCGTGCCAATCGACAGTCAGTGCATCAATTATGTCCTTTCCGTAAATTGGCATGAACTGGGTACGCGCGCGAGTAAGGTTAAGACATGTTTGCAGATGATCTCGAACGGCCACTTGCTCTCGCTTCGCCATCGCTGCCATAGTCGCTTGTAGTGAGGAAGTGCCCTTGTCGATGGGTTTGTTGATGCGCCGTGTTTGGCGCTCGATCAGATCCTCCAGGGGCCGTGTGGCGCGAATAGGGTAGGTGCGTCTAGCATGACCCAACTGCGTCTGTTCCCGTCGCGCAAACACCAAGTTCAAGGCGTCTAGATTTACTTGCTTATCTTCCATGCCCTCTTGCAGTCGCTTCTTGATGAGAAGGTCCTTGATCTCGTACTGAGCAGCGACTGACTTGGGCATGGCCATGGACGTTACAATGGCTCGTGTTTCGAACAGGTCGGGGTGATTGCAGACTTTTCGTAATGACATTAAGCAATTGATAATCGACATGTAGTTGCCGGAGGACAGGATCTCCTTGGTCGAGGCGCGGCCCATGAACCCATCGTAGAGCTGCCGTTGCCGCTTGGAAAGCTTGCAGTAGACCACGTGCTCATACTTCCCTGGCATTTGCTTCTCAACCTCTGATTTCAGCCTTCGAAGCAAGTAGGGGCGAAGGACTTCGTGAAGCCGCTTGACAACCTTCTGCGCTTCCGCATCAAGCTGCTGCCGACCTTGATCGAGAATCTGCGAAGTAGGATTCTTGAGAGCCAAGGTAAACTCCTCCAGTCCCGCGATGCGACCTTCCCCGGCAAAGCCAGCTGGCATTAAGAAGTAGAGCAGCGACCAAAGCTCATCGATGTTGTTTTGTAGAGGCGTACCGGTCAGTAACAACCGTCGCTCTGTTCTAAGGTTAAGCATAGTCTGCCATCGTTGAGACTTGAAGTTCTTGATGTTGTGGGCTTCATCGAGGACCAGGTAACGCCAGGGACGCATCTTGAAGGCAGCTGCGTCTTGGAGGATGAGCTGGTAGGAGGTAATGACGACGTTGTACATGTCCTTGCCAGTGTTGCGCCAGCCCATGCGCTTTCGTTTTCGCTCATTGATGTCGCCATAGTATGTCAGAATCTTGAAGCCTGGCAAGAACTTCTTGAACTCCATCTCCCAATTGAGCATGACACTGGTGGGTACGACGACTAGATGTGGTCCCCATATCTCGCGACGAACAGCGAGGTAGGCGAGAAGTGAGATGGTCTGTATAGTCTTGCCCAGACCCATCTCGTCTGCGAGGATTCCATTTGTCTCGGATTCGTACAAGTTCGCCAGCCAGTCCAAACCATCGTGCTGGTACTCTCGTAGGGTACCGCGTAGTAAGGATGGCACCTCGGTCCTTGGTGGGGATGATGTATGCCGTGATCGTGAAGCGCTTTTAGAATGTACTACATCTTCCATCGGAGTTGGCTCAGCTGCCTCGACGGTAGGAGCAGGTTCTGTTTCAGAATGCCCGTTCACATGTGGCTCGTCGATTTCAGCGACAGAATCATGACCATTCACATGTGGCTTCTCCTCGTAGACTTCCGCGGGCGATGTAGCATGGCCATTCGTTTGTTCGGGCTGAGTCGTCGGGTCTTCCGATTCCACATCGTCAATCGCGGTCTTGGCGGCCTCTTTCAGTTTCTTGATGTCTTTAGGTGCCAAGAAACCCATCATGCCTAAGTCTTCTCCCTCACTCTCATCCTCGTCGTCTTCTTCCGAGCCGGCTTCTTCATGACCATCACCCTCGCTATCCGAACCTTCGTTGCTCGACCAAGCTTCACTACCAGATTCCGAGCCCTTGTCGTCCTCAGAATCGAGCAAAGCATCATCAACCTGATCGAGCTCCACTGTAGCAGGATCGATATAGTCTGGCTTCTGTTTATCCCCATCTTCTTCGTGGTCGTGAAAGCCGTTCGTCTGTTGAAATGGGTTCTCTGGAAGCTCGTTCGTGTTGTCGACATCGAGGTCGGGATCGGGTGTTGGCGCAGGAGTGCCCTCTTCGGAATCAGCGTCGTCATCGTCTTCGCCGTCGTTTGAGTTGACTTCCGCCTCGGAGCTGCTCTCGGGGAGATCGGGAAGTTGTCCGTACTTCTCGCGTAGTTGTTCGGCCGTGAGGTTCGCATCTTCGTCCTGCTCGTTCTCTTGTTCGCTATCGGAGCTGGAAGACATGACATCGTCGTCGTGCTGTTGTTGTGAGGCATGCGACACCCCGCTTTCGGATTCCATCTCATCGAAATCACGGTCTTCGCTGACCAAGGAGGAGGCCCCGTCGCCAGCGTTACGACCACCCAGAATCTCTTGCGCTTGATTAAACATGTCGTCCATGGCCTTGTGTCCGAGCTGCAACTGTTCCTCCTCATATTTAGCCACACGCTCCTTGTCGATCTCAACCCTGACCAAGCCCCATGCGTCCTTGACATCCTTCACGAGCTGCTTGTATCTCGTCACTTGCCGCTCGGTCTCTTCCTGTTCGATCTCATCTTGGCTCTTGCGCTTGAACTTGTTCTTCCAGAAATCGTATGCTTCTCTGGCCAAGATCTTGGCCGTCCGCCGATGGAATGCCTTCTCCTCCTTCAATAGCTTGTTGAAGTGCAGGGCATGAGCGACAACGTGGTCCCAATGTCCGTATTGTGGCGGTGGCTCTGGGGCTGCTTCAGGCGCATATACGCTGCATCGTGCCTGGCTTAGAACTCCATGTTCAGCAGCCTCGACAATCTGCAGCCGGCGCTCGGCCTCTTCCTCGGCCTTTTCCTGTGTGATCCGAAGCGCCTCTTCGCCGTCTAACGGGTCGTCTTGTCCTAGCCACTCTTCGAGCGACGCGTACTCTGACTTGGGCGGGGCATGGTGGGGATGGCGGTTGGGAGGGTCTGGCTTTCGCAGTCGCAGGCGGAGACGAGGGGCGGGCATAGATGGGTTCGAGTCGTCGGGCGATCCATACAGGCCGGCGTAGGGGTCGTGTCCGTTCGTTTCGGCATCGTCCATGGGCTCGTCACCTAGATCATCGGTAAGTGGCTGCGCTCCCCTCCGAGAGCGCCCGACCCGCTTGCGCGTGCCTTCGGGCGACCCATTCTGCAGTGCTGGCGACGTGACGGGCGAAGTTGTCGCAAGTGCTGGAGGCTTTCTCTGGCGCTCAGACTTGCGCGCCGGCGTTGCCAGAGACTGTGCGGACACCTTTTTGGTGATGGTGGATGGCGTCTTCCCTTTCGAGACAGACATGGGTCCTGAGCCATTGCGCGACTCTCGCTTGACGCCGTTCTTAGGGGTGCCGTTGGTCTGCGTCGCCTTGCTGGCCGGGCGAGAATTCCGCTTTACAGGTTCCGGCGTTGGCGGTGCAGCATCCTTGCTCACACGTGATGATTTCCTGACGCCATTCTCGAAGACTGTCGTCGGTCCATCAGCCACGAATGACTTCCAGGGCGGCGATGCGGCGCGTGATGCTGAGCGGCGCGGTGTGGTGTCTTCGAGTTTCCGCCGTTTTGGCGGCCGCTCAATGACGCCACCATCATCGCCATTTACAGGTGCCGGCGGATGTTCCTCCTTGATCACAGGTGCGCTGTCGTTCTCGCTCTGTTCGCCATTGTGTGTGATGTCGGATGGGTTGTGTGCGGCGGCCGAGTCGCGTGGTGGGATGGAGTCGATGTCGCGATCCGCGGCGGTAACTTCTTCCATTCAGGAAGGGCGAGAGAGGCGGCCTGGGGAGCCTGTTGACCACCCGGCGCGCGGCCAAATCGACATATATCAGCTCGAATTCGGAGTCGCAAGATAGCCTGACGCGTGCTGGTGACGGTGATGGGGTCGGATTTCAAATTCGGGCTCGCGTTGGGATGATGCGGTGTTATGTCGAAGTTGTGAGATGGTAAAAACAGAGCCGGCGATAATGTTTGGTAGGGATCACGCTAAATACCGGCACGGGCGCGCATGCCATCCCTTTGACGTGAACGACGGCGGAATGCTGGATACCACGTCTGAAAATGCTGTGACTGAGGCTGTCTAAGACCTCCGCAGATTCTTTCAGGCAGGCGTCGGGTTGCTCAGTCGCGTAGACGCCTTTCGTGTCACATCCATGACCGGTCGTGGTACTACGCAGAGCAGTTAGACCCACTTCTCCGCCAAGCATTACCGGGGCCGCAACTGAGCTCATCGCGAACGACACATCAATACTGCAACCCATCCAACCCCCGCAATTGCGCCGCAACGTACGAAGACACCGAAGATACGCATCGCGCAAATACTCACTCGGCTCTAGCATGTTCCCAAGGCGCATTGTAGCGGCACGCCCGCTGGCTCGAGCCGTCGTCCCCGCCGTAGCCCGGCCACGACCCCAATTCACCCAAATCCGAACCGCTCTCACCGACGCTGAGAAGGCCCACGCTGAGCTCACAGACCCGAACCAAGTACGCCCACTTTTTCTAGAGAAGACAGGAAGGACCTAGTGCTGATGGTGACAGAACGGCGGCTACATCAACCCTCCCGCTGAGAAGCGAGGAAACCGCGACCCGTACGGCGACTACTGGGACAAGCAGGAGCGCCGCAACTATGGCGAGCCCTGCCACGAGGACAACGATATCATGGGTGTACTAGCGCTCCACGACTACAACCACTTCACCCCCCAATGGGGCTTCGTCCTACTGGGCACCTTCGTCGCTTCTGTCTTCGGACTCTGCGCGGCTGTCGGTACCTTCTACCCCGACAAGCTCAGTGCGCCCAAGACATACCCAGATGGTCTGGAGGCTGAGCTGGGTGGAAAGGGTGCATTGCTGGTAGGTAAATTGTTGACTGTTGTGGACTATTGCTAACAGTGTGCAGGCAAGGAAGCCCGGTGAGGGCTGGTAAATTGTATGCAGACTCAACTGACATGTACATACAACCCAATGGGATTCTCTTTGTCAATTCAATACCCAGTTATCATCCTAGGCTACTTTGATTTTGAGCTCCATCGCCAATCCAGTCTCAAATACTAATGCATTCATCCCGTTCTGGTTCAATTGGACGCTGATTCGAGAACCTGGAACCACTCCGTCAACACAGCACTTTGCGTTGCGTGCGGGATAATGCGTCTCGGCATCCTCTTCAAGACCGGCATCCTACGACACCCACCCAGGGGCACCGCTCGCCACTACGTCATCCCAGCAATCCAGGAGCACAACCTCGTGGGCCCCATGCATTCCGCAATCCATGCCCAGGCCATGAGGGAACTCAAGTTTCTACTGGCCACCGACTGATCCACCCTTGTTGCATGCTCACTTTGTTGGTAACCGCCCAGGATACTTGCTAGGATCCGATTGGTCAACCCACATATTTATACAAGCAATCAACAGGAGCATATACGGCAGTTGACTTTAGAACCTTCTATAGGAAAGGATCCTTCGATGAAACTACCCGACATGGCGAACCGTGAACATGATGTGGGGTGAGTTCCATGTGGAGACTTGCTTCGAACGTCATTCATGATATATTATGAGACTCATGTGCCACAACAGCACGTTCCCTGATTCTCAACATCTACATTCCATTTTCTCGTTGTCAAACCACTTGATCGTCAGCATGTACTGGTTCTCGCTCACGCTCACGCTCACGCTCACCTCTTTGTTCCACAATGTCGCAGCATCGCCGACTCACGATCTCGAGGCCCGACAGTTTGCAACAGCGGCGATGCTACGTTTCCAGTGCTCTCAACTAGTCTACGACCGTATCGACCCACTTGTCCAACCCGGCATTGCACCTTCAGCACACATGCGTAAGCGATGCCCATATACTACCTTGGTACAGTACGTATACTAAATTTGCATGTCATTGTTTAGACCAGATCGTCGGCGGAAACGCCTTCAATGTCTCCATGCCACCGCTCGACCTCGACCCCAGCACGGAAGCCACTTGCACAACCTGCGATTTTGCCGAAGACCTTTCAAACTATTGGACCGCGAATCTCTACTTCAAAGCGCGTAACGGCACATTCCAACGCGTCCCACAGATGGTCAACTTGGGTCTACAAGGCAGAGAAGGCGTTACGGTGTACTACATTCCGCCATACGACGGGAAGAGTACGGTGACCGCGTTCCCCAAGGGTTTCAGGATGTTGGTTGGTGATCCAGGCTTGAGAGCTAAGGAGGGTCAGCAGAAACAGCTCTGCCATCGCTGTTTCACGAACAAACAGCAAGATCCTTTTGGTGGGGCCCCATGTATCGGAGAATTTGACACAGCGAGCTTGCCACCGGGCATGTGTGGAGGTGGAATCCGGACGACTATTACATTCCCAACGTTTGTGGACTCCACTTACCTGGCTTTGCGCGTATCGCTAATCTTGAATATAGATGCTGGGATGGCAAGAACGTCGATTCTCCGAACCACAAAGACCATGTCGCGTACCCTACAACTGGATCCTTCGAATCTGGCGGTCCCTGCCCATCGACTCATCCAGTGAAGATGCCTCAACTCATGTATGAGGTCATGTGGGATACTACGCCTTTCAATGACGCGTCTCTCTGGCCTGAGGATGGATCGCAGCCGTTTGTCTACAGCATGGGTGATGCGTGAGTGACCTGCAGCGACTGTGGGGGAACAGCACTAACCATGTGTAGGACTGGCTACGGTCAACACGGCGATTATGTCTTTGGCTGGAAAGAGGGTGCGCTGCAGAGAGCTATGGACCAACGCTGCTTTGGGAACACATGCACGGGGTTGACGACACAGGCTGCCGATGTGTCGACCAAGTGTGGGGTACCACAGGCTGTGAAGGAGCCGGTTGAAGGATGGCTCGATGAGTTGCCTGGTGGTCCAGTCGTGACCTATGAGTGATCCGGGTCAATCAAACTGAACCGTGGGAGGGTAACGTACAAACGTGGGCCGAACTTATCCCTGCAAGTAACCCGACATTCGTTGTACTATGTTGACGTCTATAGAAGAACGATTATTTCGTTAATAGCATATCGCGCTCGCTTGAAAGACTTCCCACTGGCTTTTTGAAAGATTTCCTATCAAAATTATCCAGTGGTCGTGTGGTGCGTAGACATCGGAACGAGCAATCGGCCGCTCACCGCGGTTGGACTTTCGTTGTCATACAAACGGCTGATCTTGCAAGGGACGCGTCCGCACCCTCCACTCCCACCAATTTTCATCATAACCGCCATGCGTCAATGTGAAGAAGACAAGGTGAGCCAGAAGAGGAAGGAGCGCCAAAGGCGCGAAGCGAATGTTGCGCTTTCGCATGTTATCATCCACGAAGATCCTGCAGGAAAAGATGAGACACCGGTACCCGGACATGATGAGAAGCTACCGGCGAAAGACGTATCGCCAGATCCCTCTGACGCTGCTCAGTCACTTCGCCCTCTACCGCAGATCTCGCGCAAAAGACAACGCGAGCCTAGTTGCGAGTCACGAGACCCGTCACTCAAGGAGTCGATTGTCGATACATCCCAGCGAGATTCCACCGACGTACACAGCCCGTACTCAGAATCAGCAACCGCCCCATTGGAATACTACATTCGCCTAGCCTCAAAGTCCATGTCGCTCCCAACTCCTTCCGACTCGTACTTCACCTCACCAGAGCACGCGCCAGTACTCCACCGCAATCGCGAGAACAAGATCATAATGTACACAGGCTCCTTCAACCCACCGCATCTTGGTCACTTCGAACTGGCCTTTCATACATTCCTACGTAGCTCCTCCACCACCATCGCCGTCGTCTTCCTTCCATTTCGCGATAAACTCAAAGCGAAAGACGGCGCTATGGTCAACGGAAAGGTCTTCGCCACTGAAAAAGAACAAAGAATCGCGCTACTACAAAACAACCTACTGCAGCGCTGGACTTGGTTTCACAGAGGCCATCGCACAGATTTCGAAAAATACGGGGCTACTCTGATCAAAGAAGCGAAGAAAGACGGATTCCAAGTTTCCTTTGTAGTCCTAGCTGGAAGCGATAAATTCGAACGCGAAAAAGTCGAAACAAAGCCTTCTTGGCTCATAGGATGGGGAGAAATAATCACCAGCGACATTACACGGCCTTCTAGTCTGTTCAAGGGTCCAGAGCGTCCGCCCACACGGTTACCTGGATGTAGATCTTGGCGCTTGATCTCTACACCAACCAGCAGGAAGGGAGACTCCAGCTGTGAATGCGGAGGCGCGAATCATGAATGTCGCATATCTCTACGAATCCAAGAGTACTGCGGTGGGCATGCTGCTTTGGAAGGCGAGCCGCATGTTAGATCCAGGCAAGACAACTTGCTGCATGAGATTCTGGTAAGATGCCATGAGGGAGTGGGGCCGACGTGGGTTTGCCACAAGAAGACTGGGGGTACAGTGACGTTTTTGGGTAGTGGAAGAGATACTGATGGGCATGAGAAGAGAGAAGAGGTTAGTTCTTCGGCCATCAGAAAGATATTGAGTGGAGGTGGTAATCGCGAGGAGATGTCGACAAAGTTGGAGAAGGTCATGATGAACCCAGAGTTACTGCTACACTATCTTGAATCGGATGGATAAGCAACAGAGGAGCCGCAGATCGCGATACATCCTCAACACCCTCCTCAATCTAATCCACGGATTATATAGAACTACCAGATCTTCGCCAACGCCTCAAGCCCTTCAATGGAAAGCAGGATAGCCATGCTCTAACATTTGTGATATTGAACGCCAGTGAAATGGTCATCAAAGTCCATCGCTCCAGAGGCAAGTTGAACATACTTTATATGGGGCTTGCAAGTATTCAAGATAGCCTTCATGTCTCGGGCGAGATCCCAACATGCAGCGCAGAACATGGTGTCGCGCTAATATAAGTAGTCAGAACAACTCTCCAAGATCCAAAAGCCAAGGAGCTTGGCGACGAATACATACCTTGTTGCACAAGAAGAGACCGCACGTGTATGAGCAGCTAATCATCGCGCAGTGCTCGAATCCGCCGTTGACACAGCACTTGCGGTCATTGAGTTTTCGGAGCCAAAACCAGCCGTCATGACAAGAAGTAGCTCCAGTGACGTCCGTGCCCCAGTCGCAATTGAACTGTTCATGATGAGATCAGAATGCGTTGTTAGCGAGAGAAGGGTAAAAGAGGCTTACAGTTGATGGCTTCTCAATACCGAGCTTTTCGACGACGTTCTCTACGTTCACGTCGGAGGAAGCCCCAGGATTGATCGCCTGGATCTGCTCGTGGATGGATTTCGCTGTGCCCTTGAAGGTGATACCGGGGAACCGGTCATCGGTCACCTCTAACTCCACGATAGTCATGCCATCGGCGGATGTCTGAACACTGGCTTGGTCTGCTGGAATGGCCGTGGCGTTGCTCTATTGGTCCCGTTAGTCAATGATACCTACGAGGAACCTCTGCAAGTGGTGGGAAGCAACGCACGGTGCAAGCCAACAGGCTCGAAACGGCAATGAGGGTGGCGAAGATGAATTTCATGTTGGCACGAGATGCGTCCGTGGTCTACGAATAAGGTATAGTTAAACCTCTCAGCGGGTTGAGTGGACTCGTTTGCGGGGGTAAGTTGGTGGAACAGCAACGGAGAGACAACATGGCTCCATCTATATCAAGAGGTCTCCACCGCTGTCAAGCCTTCTCTCACTTTTATACCCACACCGATATCATTTTCCTATCGCCCGTGCGCACGGTAGAGGGGCGTTTTTGCGCGAACGGTCCCAGTGCTGTTGAATTAGGTTAGAAGGAGGGGGGAATTGAGCCCGGAAGGCTGCGTGGACCTGAAGTCGATCATTTTTGGCTTAGTGCGGCTAGGATGATGTCAGAACAGCTGAGGGAAGGAAGGAGTGAGTTCGCTTGCCACGTGCTTCACTCGACCACCTGGGCACGCTTTCACTGTCCCTTCATTCGCAACTCTGCTTCAGCTTGGCCAGATGAACGATGCGTTCTTCTCGCGTTTTCTCGTGAAATCTTGTCTAGATTATGATGCGTGGAGTTCCTATCTAGCTCGCCACCGTCTTGCCCAAAGTGCATGCGGTGACATATACCTTCTATCAGGACATAGCAGGCTTAGCATATTGTTGGGACAAACCTGTGGAGATACTGCAACTTTCAGACTGCTTGTATGATGACGATGAGCGGTTACAAGTTTAGTGTTTCACTACATCGTTCTTCGCTCTTTCCCGATTTCCTCACGTCCCAGGGTCTTTCCCATCAAGCCGTTTGTTTGGGTCTAGAGATAACGTCATTGGGGATTTAAGAGTGTGTCAAAGTTGAGATTGTGACTGCTCAAGGAAGGAGAAGGCAACACGAACTAACTGTCGCAGCACTTGTTGGCAATGTGGTATAGGACTATGATCAGTTGAAGACATGGGACCTGAGGGGTGGTCGTATGGTCTCGAGTCGTGTGGATTCAGTATATTGGTGTGTATTGCGAGATCTGGAGCGACGCCTATGAGAGCTGCCAAGACACATGGATGTTCTTGCGTTTGCTTCGAGGGGTTAGAAGCACAGACTATCGTGTCTGATACGGCAATGCATACGGTGAACGTCACACTTTTACACAAGCGGTGCCCATTTCTCCACCGCTATCCAGTCTAAGCTTCATCCGGGTGGTTGCTGGATCCTGGATCTTGTTGCCTTCACCTTCACTCAGATCCAACACGCTCCCATTGCAGTATATAGTTCCTGGGTTTCCTCTCCCCCGCCGTGCCTCTTCAATCTCTCCACTGAGTTAAATCAGAGCTGGACGTCGACTTTTTCTCTAGTTACACCAGCCCTGAGCAACCATCAACATGAAGACCACGCTTCTGACCGTGACGGCCACTGTCCTTGTCCGGGCGGCGGCTGTTCTCGCTCACCCATCTCGTAAGCTCTCAGTCCTAGCTTATGCAAAAGCCTCCAACTAATCTTCTACAGACCCCAACTCCGCATACAGCGTCAGTCCCCGAGACCAAGACCCCAATGATATGGATGCGCTTCTCGGAATCAACTGCCGCGGCAGCGCCATGTGCACGCTGTCGACTTGCGACATTAGCCTCTCGAAGATCAAGTCATACATTGATACTATTGGTATGTTCTACAAAAGAAGTTCGCCGCACTGAGCTGTGCTAACAATCTTCATCTAGACGACAAAGAAGAGTGGGGCAACGGCGACCAGATCGCTTGTAATCTTTGCAGTGGATGTTCCAACCCCGACAAGTGCGACGGTCTCTGTGCCTTCCCACAGAAGCTCAAGTCGGACGAGAAGGTCAATGGCAGCCTGATCAAGAGCAAGATCAATGACCTAGTCAATCACAAATGCGGTAGTAAGTGTACCTTGGCCTACGCTACCTTCCAATACTGACTCGTTGCCAGGATGTGGCAGCTGCCCTACTAAGCCGGGAAACGACGTTAACACTGGCGAGATCACGGTCAACTACGTCACGTCTGGCTGCAAAGAGGGTGTCTGCGATTACAAGCGCAAGGCTGCCCGCGATGAGGTCGCTTCCAGCGTTACAGCCGACGAGACTACTGACGAAGATGTTCCCGTCGACCAAACTATCGATACCGACCTTCCTGCCGACCAGACTATCGACGCCGACGATCCCATCGATACATTTCTTCCTCCCGGAACATCCGAGAACGTACATACCCTTAAGGCCCCTTGGGGTATCAATTGCAAAGGTAGCAGTCTATGTCGTATCTGCAAGGGGAGCCTCAGGCAGATTCAGGAGACATTAGCACTGATGGGTAAGTACATGAAACACACGCTCAGCTCCCTCCCTATCAAGTATGCTTTTACTGAGAGCACTATTCGCAGACGACGACTGGGAATACAAGAACAACGAGGGGATTGTGTGCGCGCATTGTACAAAGACCAGTTATGCGGCCAATTGCATCATCGCCCACAATTTACACAGACCAATTGCCATCAGGGATGTCAAAATGTTGGTCCAGCGACTCAAAGATTTTGGATGTGGACGTAAGTTGGACTCTTCTGTCGCTATTGTGAAATCGGGGCTAATGGTTCTTAGGATGCGGAAGCGTTCCCCTCCACGTGGGCGCGGCGAATGAACAAGGCATGCTCACTGCTAACTACATAGAAAATGGTTGTCCTGACAAAGATAAACCCTGGGGTTGTGGGCCAAAGTAGCACCGACATTGTGCTGTCGATCAGCAGGGAGCACACGCCTAGCTGGCCGAAGAGGTTTATCAAACACTCTCTGTCAGCATTGAGAAAGACTTTAAAAATGATCTGCACGAACTCTTATCTCAGTTGTACCAACATGTAGGCCATAATCATAATAGTCGTAATAAAGTGTCATGACTATACCATAAGCGCTTCAAAGCTCATCCTTGTACACCTCCTCACTCCCCTCCTGCATCTCTTCATCCTCATCGCCGTGTTCAACCTCATGTTCCTTCTCCTTGCCCATCCCCGCACTATCGCCATCTTTGTTCTTCGTTGACTTCTTCTTCGTCTTCTCAGTGTCCTGATCTTCGGTATCGATGATACCTCTAAACTCCCTGCCCCTTGGTGTGTCTACAAGGTCCAGCTTCCATCCCTTTTTGCCAGCCAGCTTCCTCAGATTGGCTTTCAAGGTCTCGACATCCTTGGGATCGGCAATGTTGAGCTTCTTCATCTCCTCCTTGGACATCTGCTTGCCGTCGCTACTCGCTACGGTGCCGATAAATGTCTCCTTGCCTCCGCCGACAACGACGGATTTCTCAATCACCTTGCCTTCGCTTCCCACAAACGACTTTGCGCCGACTTCAATGCCGCCAATGACAATGCGCTTGGTAGAGCCCTCGAGGCCGTCGGCGAGATCGCGGAGCGGGTTCGTGTTGGCGTCGTCGGCAGCGTTGTGGGCAGCGATGAGACGTTCGGCCGCGGCCAGCTTGGCGGATAGCTGTGCTTCTGTCCATGCGTCCACTTCAGACTCTGGAATGACGGGTTCACAGGTTATAGGATGTGCGAGGTTCTCTTGTGGTGGGGTGAAGGCAACGTCGTGGCAGAGGCGGGGCGTGTCGACAATCATGAGGTAGGAGCAGGTGCTTGTTTCTTTGATCATGGCGATTCGGTCGGCAGATTGTGGGTTGCAGTGGAACTGGAAGAGATGTCAATACTGTGTGTTGGAGGACAATGGCGCTGCGGGGACATACCTGTACATCGATCTTGCGCGGTTTGCCCGTCAAGTCGCACTCAGTACCATCCGACAGCCGCTGTACCATGTATCTGCTAGACCCCTTGGTCTCTAGCCTTGAGATCTCTAGGCCCTTCTCGTCATCGTCGGTCGTTTTGTCCTCATCATCAAAAGCCTCCTTGCTGCCCTCTTCGTTGCCTAGTGTCTTGCGCGCGTCCGCTTTCTTGGTCTTCTCCTCCTTCGGGTACCTTCCCAATACGAAGCTGTGTACGCTCGTGTCCTCCACAGGCGGGTAATGGGGAACACCTCGACTTTGTGGCAGCTGGTGGAACTGCTTGACTTCGTCCTTGTAGCAGAAGCTGTAGCTCCACCAGCCGCTCACATAGTAGATGCAGTTGCCCTTCATGCCTTCGAGTAGCTCCCACCCGCGGTCTGCTGCGCGTATGAGCTCCTTCTCTTCCTCGGCTTTGGCCTCCTCGGCCGATGTTGTGTCATTCTGCGGTACCTCTTCTGGTATTATGGGTATGCTGCATAGGTACCGCTGTCCGTGCAGCACGACTGCTTCGTATGTCTGTTCGAGCGCATCGTCTACGGGTGGTATATTCGCCGCCGGCTTATCGCGCTTCGAGAGTTCCTGCGTCTCTTGCGAGCCGGGTGTTGCAGAGCTCGAGCTGGGTGATCCGTGGGAGAGGAGAAGCGTCGCATCGTTTTCGGTAACGAAAGTGTCTGGCCACAGAACCTCATACTGGGTGTGCTGTTAGCAGATGACGCTGTTGTTGAGTCGCGTGGCGCGTCATACCTGGGGGAAAGCGAGCAGATCGTCGAACACGCTGAACGCATGCTGATTCGCCAGCGCGATGCGCAAAACCGCCGGAAGTGCCCAAATGCCCCTCATTACGATAAGAGGCCCTAGGATTTGGGAAAGGAATAGGATAAAGGCACGCGCCGTGAAGCTGGTCGCGGAGTTCTTGGTTGCGGCCAGATGTCACTTCCGCGGGGCTAAGCTGCATTCGGTAAAACCTATGAGAGACACACGAGGGCGCTTTCCTCATCGAACAATGCTTCACGCATCACAGCTGCTTCTCTTTCGCATGCAAGCAAGATCTACTCTGCAAGGGTAAGCGCTTGAGTTCTGGTATCAACAATGGCAAGAGCATATCAGGCTCGATATGATGTCATCTGTTCGAGCCCCATATGAAGGCTACCCGCGCAGTCTCTGCTGAGTTCGAAAACATATTCATTTGTTCTTGGCGAACACGAGGTGTCTCCGCTTCGACGCGGGGTAGTATGCGCAGCTGTGGCAGTGTTCCTGACCGGTCAGCTTGCGGCCACGCCCTCTAGCCACGAGCATTGCGCATA